TGTTTAATAAACACGATAATTTATTAAAGGAAAGGTACTGACAAAGAAAATGTGCACTTATTATGTTTAATAAACACGATAATTTATTAAAGGAAAGGTACTGACAAAGAAAATGTGCACTTAGTACGTTTAATAAACATGACAGTTTATTAAAGGTACGGTATTGACGGGGAAAACAGTGCACCTATTACGTTTAAGAAACACGACAGTTTATTAAAGGAAAGTTATTGACAGAGAAAAAAGTGCACTTATTACGTTTAATAAACACGACAACTTATTAAAGGAAAGGTATTGACAGAGAAAAAAGTGCACTTATTACGTTTAATAAACACGACAACTTATTAAAGGAAAGGTATTGACAGAGAAAAAAGTGCACTTATTACGTTTAATAAACATGACAGTTTATTACGGTAAATGTATTGACAGAGAAAAAGTACACTTATTATGTTTAATAAACATGACAGTTTATTACGGGAAATGTATTGACAGAGAAAAAGTGCACTTATTACGTTTAATAAACATGACAGTTTATTAAAGGAAAGGAATTGACAGAGAAAAAGTGCACTTATTACTTTTATGAAATATGACTATATTAAAGAAAGTCCCCAGTGGGTCAGCGTTAAGTTTACAAATTTACAACGCTAACATCCGGGGTTCGATTTCTCCAGTGGACAGAGTTCATATAGTTCATTTTGTAGTTTTGCATTAAAAATAATAGCAACAACATCAAAGGAACGGTCGAAATATACAGGGCGAGGGCGTTGCAGTCGATGACAGAAAATGTTACAGTATCTGCAACACGCAGTATTTGATATTAAAGTTTACAACACATAGAATTTGACGATGAAAACATTTTCACGTTAACACGAAACAGATGGTGATAAGACAGACTCCACAAAGCTTTTGACACGGAAAAGGTAGTTAGAAAAAAAAAAGAGTTCACAGAGTAAACCATATATAACAGCTGATAACACGACTTGACACTACTCGTGATACACAGAAGTTGATCACCGAAAGGGGAAAAAATTACACGCTGAATCTGTACTTGAATAGTTCACAGTCCTTATAAACTGATGATGAAAACTAAACGCATTTATTGTACACAGAGGTTAATGATAACAGTCTGTTACTTGCAAGGCACACACAATTCTAAGTTAAAAAGTTCAGTTAAGAATGCTTAACTAACCTGATAAACAATTTATTTAATAGTTTCGTTTTGAGTTTACTAGCTGATTAAAAGTATCATTTTATTATAAGCTACAACTTTTACAGTAAGGAAGAATAATTTAAAAACAAGTACGATTTTTCGATCAGTTGTGCGATCATTCTCAAGTACCAGTAATAGAAACGTCATACTTGTTTTAAAAATTCTTCCTCACTGTAAAAACTGTAACTTGTAATAACATAAAAGATTTATTTGTTTTAAGCGCAATGACACATAAATGGGTCATCTGCGTTGTGCTAACCAAAGGGATCAAACTCCGACGTTTAGCGTTAGGAGACGTCAAACTTACTCCTTAGTCACAGGGGTCGATGATGCAAATATAATTAACAAAAATGAGGACACACGTGTTAATGTAACTTCAATTAAAAGATATGAACAGTGTTAAATATCATACCAAATTCGGTTTAAACTACGTAAGTTTGGCAGACTTGAAACTTGTATGTCTCTCAGCTTCTTGCACTACATATACTTCCGTATTTGTCTAAGAGGTATCTAAGTTGTAGAAATTACGTTTTTTAGCTAAAAGTACTTCAGTCTTGAAGTTTTAATTGTAAAAATAAAGTTAACAAAATCTTCACGTGTAGACTATACGGAGAGGCAATAGAATACGTTAATTCGTATCACACGACAAATCAAGAATCGTGTGAAATAAACATTTACTTTTAAACGAAAAATTAAGCATCGTAACAAACTACAGTGCTTTCTAATCAAAAATAAAATACAGTTTTGTATTTATGGAAAAACTACTAATTCTATCTGATACCGTCCCTAATTTTGATTAACTGACCAGAGGGAAGGCAACCAGTCAACAGCACCCTCCACTATACAAACCAAGGGATTAAGTGTTACTCTGATAACGAACCTATAAGTTGAAGTGTGGGTAATATTTTGTGGCATCGCAAGAATTTGAACGCGGCTCACCAGTTTAGAAATCCAGAACCCTACCAACGGGCCAAACCACGCCTTCTACTAAACAACACACTTTTCAGTATTTCTTGTTTGTTTGTTTTGAATTTCGCGCAAAGCTACACGAGGGCTATC